CCTGCCTAGAATCCCCCAGTGAGGGGCTGGGGGTGTGGCTCAGTGGTAGAACATTTGCCTAGAATCCCCCAATGAGGGGCTGGGGGTGTGGCTCAGTGGTAGAGCCCCTGTGAGGGGCTGGGGTGTGGCTCAGTGGTAGAGCCCCTGCCTGTCTTGCACAAGGCCTGGGGTGCTTCCCCAGCACTGTAAACCAGCCCCCATCTCTGATAAGATGAGGCATCTTGGGAAATGTGATTTGAGGGTGAGGAAGTAGCTTCTGAGATGCATGTGAGATGAACTGAAGCCTGAGACTTGGTCAGATGCTCAATGGAAGAAGGGTTGCAGGGATCTGGATCAAGCCTATGTCCTTCCGGCCCAGCAGGGCCCAGGGAGGCAGTCATGGAAAGCTGGCTGTGGGGAGACCCGCCATCTTTCCTATAGGGTGTCTGGTGGTACCCACCCTGAGCCGCGCCCCAGCCTCTCTCACTTCCTCCCCTCCTTGCTCTAGATCCGCTTCATCCTCATCCAGAACCGGGCGGGCAAGACACGCCTGGCCAAGTGGTACATGCAGTTTGATGATGATGAGAAACAGAAGCTGATCGAGGAGGTACACGCCGTGGTCACCGTCAGGGATGCCAAGCACACCAACTTTGTGGAGGTGACTGACACCCTTCCCATTCCTCTTTCCTACTTCCCTGGCCCCTCCGCCTCCTCCTGCCTCTAATAGCAGCACAGCCCATGACCTCCTCTCCTCCATTCTTCCACTCCGCGTGCCGTTAGCTCCTTCTCTTTTTCAGGGGTTGGGAGGATGGCTCAGTGAGTAAAGCGTTTGTTACGTAGCACCAGGAGTTGAATTTGGACCCTTAACACCCACAAACTTCGTTCAGGTGACTTCAGCCAAGATAGAAAGGGCTGAGGGAGTAGAAGGAGATGTTTTCAGAGCAACGAACATTCCAAGCCTCGAGGGGCGGAGGCGGGGGAATGGCCAGTGTGAAGGCCCTGAGGCAGAAGCACAGGTGGAGAGTTCCAGAATGAGCTGACAGGGAGAATCAGTGTGGCTGAGATCCTGAGCCACAGAAGGGTTTCGACACGGGACATGGGTTGGCACAAGCTTCCAGGATCTCCCATGGGTTTGGGTATTGTTTATTTATTATTGTAGAAGAGAGCAGGAATGCCATGGAGTATATGTGTTTGGAGGTCCGAAGACAACTTGTGAAGTCATTTCTCCTTCCACCTTATGGACTGAGGAGCTAGGCTTTGGAAGTGCCTTTACCTGCTGGCCATGTTTTAGCTATGAGTTTCTGTTGTTTTTCCGTTTGTTTGGTTGATTGGTTTTGGTTTTTCAAGACAGGGTTTCTCTTTGGAGCCTGTTCTAGAACTCATTCTGTAGACTAGGCTAGCCTCTGCCTCCCAAGTGCTGGGATTAAAGGTGTGCACCACCGCCGCCGAGCTTGTTTGTTTTTTAAAACAGGGTCTCATGTGCCTCCAGCCTGCCTCAAACTCGCTGTCTAGCTGAGAATGGCCTTGAATTTCTAATTCTCCTGCCTCTACCTCCCAAATGTTTGGATTACCTTAGTTTTGCTTTTTGAGACAGGGTCTCACTCTGTAGCGCAGGCTAGCCTGAAACTCACTGTGTGGTCCAGGCTTGCTTTGAACTTGAAGCAGTCCTCCAGCCTCATTCTCCTTGGTGCTGGGATTGCAGGCCTGTACCAGCACACCTGATTAGAGTCCCCCTCAGGGAGCAAGAGCAGAGGCAGGAGCCCCTCGATGTGGTACCCCTGGATGTGGTAGCAGTGGGATACTGCAGAGGGATGCTGGTGAGGAGCCAGCATCACAGGGGGGGGGGGGGCTCTCTTTGAGCTCCCAGCTGGACAGCTTTGTTCTTCCAAGATACAAGCCCCCCAAAAAGAGTAGGTTGAGGGTGCAGAGCAGGAGGGAGGTGTTGGGAGGGTGTGGTAGTCACCAGTAAGGGAGAGGCTGGGGAGGGGAACAGAAATAAAGTGCCGGCGTTGGAGATCTCCGGGCTCAGGGACCACCGGGACAGTGAGGAGGCCCCACACCAGTGCCACTCCATCTCATTCCAAGTCCTCACGTCTAGGGACAGCTCAGGAGCCCATTGCACGTTGAGCCTGTTAGAGAAGCTGAGCGTGACCCGTGGTGTCCCCGGGGCTACCTCGTGTTGGGCTACCACTGAGCAGCTGCATTGAGGTCACCCACATCCTAATTCCTGAGAGGAGTGTGTGACACTACATGGCAAGGGGGACATGGCCAATCAATTTAAGAGCCTTGGTGGATACTAGGCCTGGTGGCTCACACCGTTGATACCAGCACTGAGGAGGCAGGAGCAGGCAGACCTCTGTGAGTTCAAGGCCAGCCTGGTCCACATAGAGAGTTCCTGGCCGGCCAGAGCTACACATTGAAACCCTGTCTCAAAAAAAAAAAAAGTTTCACGGCAGCCTGAGGATATAGCTCAGTGTGTTTGCCTAGAGTGCGTGAAGTGCTGCGCTCAAACCAGAACCACGTGACATGGGCGTGGTAACATATGCCTGTAACCCTAGCACTTGAGAAGCAGAGGCAGAGGTTAAGGAGACTGAAGTCATCCTCAGCTACATAGTGAGTTTAAGTTCAAGATAGGCTACGTAGACACTTTGTCCTTCCCCCGACCCCCCCCCAAAATGCATGCCTTGTAACCCTAACCCTGTGGAGCATGCCTGTGACCCCAGCCCTGAGCTGCATGCCTGTGACCCCAGCCCTGAGCTGCATGCCTG